TAGTTGAGCACTTGACCACAGCAAGAGCCACGCTGAGCCAGCCACAAGCCCTTTCTCACACATCATCCCATCCCCAGTAACACATCCCTGCCGCAGCCCTAGCACTGGGAGACTGGGGTGGGGGGTGGGGAGATTTGAAGGGGATGCTGCTGCTGCCTGAGGCCTTGTCCACCCATGGAGCCAGTCTTGTCTCTGAGCGACACCTTGTGCATCTCAGGAGATGGGACAAGGACATCCTTGGACATCTCAGGAGCAGTGGATGCTCTGTTGGACTTCCATATTTCTTCTTTTTTGATCTCTACCACCCAGAGAGAAGTGTCCCAGAGATCACTTGTTTTCTCTCCTTGTTTTCTTTTCCCTTAGATGCTCCATACTTCCCAAGGAAGGTCATGAGGGGTATTGCACCTCTATCAAAGGTGGGATGGTGCTGTCCCTAAACGTAGTACTCAGACCAGTACCAAATGCCTTGAAAAAAACTCAGAAAAGGGCATATTGGTAGCAGTACTTTGCTAGTATGCGCTTCTAACCTTCAGCAGTCTGTACCTTGAGGATTTTCTCAGACAGAAATGGTGTCTTTCCATTTGAGTCTTTGATGAATTATTGTTTCCCCCCATGAATTTCAACCCTTTCTTGCGCTTCTGTAATCTTTTAGCTTCCACTTATGAGGAACGGCTGAGGGACTTGGGTCTTGTCAGTCTAGAGAAAAGAAGGCTGAGGGGGGGATCTTATCAGTGCTTATAAATACTTAAAGGGAGGGTGCCAGGGGGATGGGAACACTCTTTTTTCAGTGGTGCCCGGTGACAGGACAAGAGGTAGTGGGCACAAACTTGAACATAGGAATTTCCATCTAAACATGAGGAGGAACTTCTTTCCTTTGAGGGTGGCAGAGCACTGGAACAGGCTGCCTAGAGAGGTTATGGAGTCTCTGACTCTGGAGAGATTCAAAACTCACCTGGATGCCATCCTGTGCAACCTGCTGTAGGTGACCCTGCTGTGGCAGGGGGGGTGGCTAGATGATCTCCAGAGGGGTCTTCCAACCCTGACCATTCTGTGATTCCACAGCAACTTGTAGCAGTAAGTTCCACTGTTTAAGTATGTATTGCAGGAAGAAACATCTCATCTTGTTTATTTTGAATGTGTGGCATGCATCCGGGTGTGCGCTACGGCACTTGGTGACTTTCAGTAAAGTTTACTGGTCCAGACTGGTGGCATTACTGATGGAAACAGTTTTCATCAGACAGTAGGAACCTGCTGGTGGAGCTATCCTCTTTAGGCCACAGAAGGCCTTTGTTAGGAAAACCTTCATAGAAGGTTTATAATGATATTTCCCGGATTTCCTCAAATTGTTTACTTAAAAAGATAGCTAATTAGTCAGGATACAAAGAGGTGGAAATTAGAGAATTGGAATTATAAATATATACACTTTAAAAAATAGAGTTATTTAAATTAGTGAAAGCTGGACTATTGTGACAGAAAGCAGCTTGCACTAGACAAATAAGCAGTGTAGCTGCAGATGAAATTAAAAAAATCCACTAGAGGGAATACTTTTAATCATTCACCTAATTGTGTTGCAAATTCAGTCTATCCTGTATATCATTGTGGACAGACATTGAAACAAAACGTTAAGCAGAAGGAATGGAGTGAGAACCAGTACTACAATGGCTGCTTTTACTTGAAGTGCTGTGTTAATCCTGGTTCAACCTGGGGCGGGAGAAAACCATAAAAGACGTATTCAAATA